CACTCCCTGCTGAGCATGGAGCCCAACACAGTGCTTGATCCCAGGACCCTGACCATGACCTGAGCCAAAATCAAGAGTTGGACACTTAACCGACTGAGCTACCCAGGTGCCCCTAATCTTCATTTTGTTTATGTGATGTATCACGATGATCGATTTGCAGATATTGAACCATACTTGCATCCCTGGAATAAATCCCACATGATAACAAATGATTCTTTTAATGTATTGTTGGATTCAGTTTAAGATTTTGTTGAGAATTTTTGAATCTGTGTTTATCAGGGACATTAGCCTGTAGTTTTCTTATACTGTCTTTGTCTGATTTGGGTATGAGGGTAATGCTGGCCTTGTTAAATGAATTTGGAAGCTTTCCTTCCTCTTCTATTTTTTGGAAGAGTTTGAGGAAAACAGGAATTAACTCTTATTTACGTCCCTTAAATCTTCTTTAAATGTCTGGCAGAATTCATCCGTGAAGCCATCAGTTCCTAGACTTCTGAGAACTTTTTGATTACCCATTCAATTTCATTACTGGTAATCAATCTGTTCAGATTTTTTATTTCTTCCTGAATCACTTTTGGAAGACTCTATACTTCCAGGAATTTATCCATTTCTTCTAGATTGCCCAATTTGTTGGCATATATTTTTTGTAGCCTCTTATAATCCTTTGTCATTTTGTGATGTCAGTGGTTACTTCATTTCTGATTTTAATTTCAGTCCTTTTTTTCTTATCAATTATGTTTATCTTTTCAAAGAACCAGCTCTTGGTTTCCTTGATCTTTTGTAATTTTTTTAGTTTGTTTCACTTATTTCCTTCATTCTACTAACTTTGGGCTTTGTTAAAGTTCTTTTTCAAGTTCCTTTACATGTTTAGATTATTTGAAATTTTTCTCATTTCTTAAGGTAGGCCTCTAATGCTATAAACTTCTTAGAAGTGTTTTCATTGTGTCCCAAAGATTTTTGGACTGTTAGGTTTTCATTTGTCTCCATTTTTTCATTTATTATTTCTTCATTGACCCACTGGTTAGGTAGTAACATGTTTAGGCTCCATGTGCGTATGTGTGTTTTTTTTCCCCCATTCTTGTAATTTCTAGTTTCGTACTATTGTGGTCAAAAAAGATGCTTGATAGGATTTCAGTCTTCTTAAATTAATTGAGACTTGTTTGGTGGCCTAACATGTGATCCATTCTGGAGAATGTTATATGTGTACTTAAAAAGAATGTGTTTCTGTTGTTTTTGGATGGAGTGTTCTATATATATCTGTAAAACCCATCAAAGCCACAGTTTTATTTTCTGTCTGGATGCTCTATCTATTGATCCAAGTGGGATGTTAAATTCCCTTCCTGTTATTGTCAATTTCTCCCTTTGTTAATATTTGCTTTATATATTTAGGTGCTCCAATGGTGGGTGAATATTTATAATTGTTATATCCTCTTGATTGATCCCCATTATCATTATATAATGCCTTTGTTTTAAAGTTTATTTTGTGTAAGTATTGCTACCCAGTTTTTTTTTCTCCCTTTCATTTGCATGAAATCTTTTTTTCCATCCTTTCACTTTCACTCTATAAGTGGTCTGAAGTAAGTCCCTTGTAGGCAGCATATAGATGGGTCTGGTTGTTTTATCCTGTTACCCTATGTCTTTTGTTTTTAGGATTTTATTCATTTATTTGAGAGAGAGAGAGCGTGCAAGTTGGGGGAGGAGCAGACGGGGAAGGAGAGAGACAAACAGCCTCTGTGTGGACCCCGAGACCATGACCTGAGCTGAAGGCAGTCGTGAAGGCAGATGCTTAAGTGACTCAGCCACCCAGGTGCCCCCTTTTTTAATTCATTTATGAGAGAGAGGGAGAGAGAACCCTATGTCTTTTGATTTGAGCATTTATATTTAAGGTAATTACTAATAAGTATGTATTTAGTGCCATTTTGTTGTTTTCTGGTTATAGTTTTGTTTCCTTGTAATTGAAGACTTTCTTTAGTGTTATCTATTATAGATTTCTGGTTTGTAATTACCATGAGGCTTATATATAAGATCCTAAGTATATAAGTCTGTATTGTTGATTGTTGCTTAAGTTCGAACACATTCTAAAAGAACTTCAATTTTACAGCCCCCTCCATATTTTATGTATATATTTTACATCTTATTTTTTGAGTCCCTATTTAGATATAATTTAACTATTAGATATAATTGATATTACTACCTTTGTCTTTTAATCATTAATTTTATAGTGACTGATATACTACTTTGTATATCTGCTTTTACTTGTGAAATTTTTTCCTTTTCCTAATTTTCTTCTAATTATGGGCTTTTCTTTTCCACTTAAAGAATTCTCTTTGGGGCGCCTGGGTGGCTCAGTCGTTGGGCGTCTGCCTTTGGCTCAGGTCATGATCCCAGGGTCATGGGATCAAGCCCTGCGTCGGGCTCCCTGCTCCGCCAGAGGCCTGCTTCTCCCTCTGCGTCTCTGTCAAATAAATAAAATCTTAAAAAAAAAAAAAAAGGAATTCCCTTTAACATTTCTTGTAAGGCCAGTTGAGTGGTGATAAACTCCTTTATCTTAGGTTTGGGAAATTCCTTCTCTCCAATTCTGAATGACCATCTTGCTCAGTAAAGTACTCTTGGTTATAGGTTTTCTTTTCAGCACTTTGAATGTGTCATGCCTCTCCCTTCTGGCCTGCAAAATTTCTGCTGAAAAATCATATAGCCTTGGGTGGTGGTGGGGGGGTTCTTTGTACATACCTAGTTGCTTCTTGCTGGCTCCTTTTAAGATTATCTATCTTTAATCTTTGACATTTTAATTATGTGTCTGTCTTGTTTGGGGCTCTCTGTGCCCCCTAGACCTGGATGTCTCTTTCCTTCCCCCAGGTTAGTTCTCTCTTCTCTCTAGGAGCCCTATAATGTGAATATCCATATGCTTGATGTTGTCCCAGAGATCTCTTAACCTATCAGCATTAAAAATTTCTTTTGCTCTTCAGGTTGGGTGCTTTCCATTAGCCGGTCTTCCAGATCACTGATCCACTCCTCTGCATCCTCTAATTTGCTGTTGATTCTTTCTAGTGTATTTTTCATTTGTTACTGTATTCTTTCCCTCTGATTGGCTCTTTTTTATATTTTCTCTTTGTTGAAGTTCTGAATTCATCTACTCTTACGTCTATCAGGTAGATTGTGGATCTCCATTTCATTTATTTTCCTGAAGTTTTGTGCTTTTGGTTAGAGCACATTCTTCATTTTGTGTTTATTTCTATGAAACAGGTAGAAGAGCTACTTCCTTTCTAAACTTGAGGAAATTGCCTTGTGGAAGGCTGGCTGGTGTAGACTGTGTGCCTGGCCACTGGGCTGGCTGTAGCAGGTGTGTGGACTGGGGATCCCAGGGCTCTGCAGAGAGCACTCCAGCAGGACAGCTGAAGCTGAAGTAGGGACAAGCTGGGGGAACCCGGGGCTTTTTCTGCAAGGTACATAATGGTAAGACTGCTGGAGCCGCAGGAGGCCTGGGTGGAAAGTCCCCCAGCAATATGTGCAGGGGGGTGCCCAGGCAAGTCATCTGGACTATCCCAAGATGCTTTGCCCCTGTGTCACCTTGGTGATTCAGCTGGATCTGTAGTCTATGCTGTCCAGGTATACCCAGTATCTGCTGGGGCCCTGGGCTCACAGAAGCAGTAGGCCAGCCCGGGAGCCTGGATCCTATTTAAATCTGCATTATCAGGGTGAAGGAGTGTAAACAGGCACATGCTGCAGCCTCTCTGACCGGACAGTGTTCCGGCAGGCCCCCTACTGCTTGGTAGAGAGCTAGTTCCTTAAAAAGCCATGGTTTAAAAAGGCAACTAGAATATTATCTGCATTCCAGGGCAGATAAATCTGTTCAGTCCCTCAATTCCATCCCTCCCCACTGCAGTTTACAGTGTTGGGGTGGGGGTTCCCAGTTGTTACCATGTCGGTCTCTTTTGCTGTTCTCTATGGGAAGCTGTCCAGTCAGCCCTCAGAGAAGGGGAGATCGTTTTCCTACTTCACAAACTTCACCTAAGAATTCAAATTAAATGGATTAAAGCTACCCCAAATAAAAGAAACAACTCTTTATACAAGGAAGATGCTTTCACTAAGAGAAAGGTATGAGGAATGCAAAGACATTTTTGTTGAGGAAAAACTTAGAACAAAATCTGAATGTAAAAAAGGAATTTTATATATGGTCACTAATGGCTAAGATTAGAATAAATTTAAGTTTTAACATTAAATAGTTTTGTTTACAATTTATGCAAAGCAAACCAATAATCTAAGATTCTATGTCTTCATCAGATCTTTGATCATTCAGGAAAACCAAGTCTTCAATATTAAAAGAGCCAACTTTTGCTCACAATTATGTAACCTTGGGTATTTGCCTTTAAAATCTTTTGTCACTTCGGTTAAATATTTCAGAATGATCAGCAATCCTATTTAATAAAATGTTCAAACATTTTGAAGTTTAGAATTTGATTCTGGAAAGTTTGTCAATAAAGTCTTTTCATCACCATCTAACTGAAATATTCCAGAGGGCCCATAGATATTTGGTCTCCTTATAAAAAGATTACACTAATTAGGCTGGTTATGTTAAATGGGAAGCTCTGTCAACTGAGTGATACTGAACTCTCTCAGATTATAATTATATAGAAATGTTATTAAAAACTGTATGAAGCTCTTAGAAATCAGGTATGTCCTAGTATGTTGTTTGAAGTGTTGTGTGTCACAGAAATAACCGAATTTCCTTGTCAACTGCACTGTTATGAACTCTAATCAGATCTCTAGCCATGGCCACTTTTAAGTCTTTTGTTGTTTCCAGACTGTTATACTCAGATGCTTTTACAAGCCCTCCTGCAAATATGTTTCGTCTGCACTGAGACTCATGGAAAGAAATTGGAGTACAGGTTTCTGATAATATTAAGATCATGCAACTGTACTCGGTAAGAATTTCCAGAACTAATGAAAGAATTAGATTTCTAGAGAAGAATTAAAGCAAAACAATAATAACATGGGACTGAATGGAGGATGATTGTAATTTTTATGACTTTCTTTGGTTGAAACATTGTTTATCCAGATTTAAAGAAATTAAGATAACTTACAGCAATTTGATAAAATATACCTTTGTGAATAAAACATTTATCTTCTCTCTACCTGATCCCTTAGGAATTCAAAAACTCTCAGTATTCTTATATTTTCATAATATATTCATTTGCATAAGTTCAATAAGTAACAGGACACAACTGGAAACCCTGGTTATATTACCAAGGCTTTGACTGGAATGTCATATTTGAGGGAGACCTGCATAAACTCAGATACTACCAGAGAGCTTAAGGAACTAAGGTTGACTATATGGAGCCAATAAAGCCCCCTGGAAAAACAGCCTGATATCTTGCTGACAGGGTTCCTAACAAACTTACCAGTTGAAGAGAGATGGTCACTTCCTGGCAGGAAAAAGAACCTCAGGGTACTTTGGAGACCTTGAGAAAGAATTAATCCAAATCTTACAGGTGAAATCTGTGGCAAGTATTTGGCTTGGCTTCCAACCTTGAGAGGCTGTAAAGTTCAGTCTGGAGAGTCCTTATAAAAAGAGCCTACACAATCAATCGCTATTCTTGCTGCACTTATATAAGGAATCAGACCAAGTTCTAAAAAACTAGACTTATTTTGCAAACCAATTAGTCTCAACTGGGCTATGTCTGGTAAAAATGAGTGTGCTTATAAAGAGAAAAACTGGGGCGCCTGGGTGGCTCAGTTGGTTAAGCGACTGCCTTCGGCTCAGGTCATGATCCTGGAGTCCCGGGATCGAGTCCCGCATCGGGCTCCCTGCTCGGCGGGGAGTCTGCTTCTCCCTCTGACCCTCCTCCCTCTCATGCTGTCTCTCATTCTCTCTCTCTCAAATAAATAAATAAAATCTTTAAAAAAAAATAATAAAGAGAAAAACTTCCAATAACATACCTTTGTGAATACTATATTCTAATACACTTCATTATAAACTGGACAAGATCCTGATTTCTTGTGGTTTTCTCCAGTGCCTGGCTACAACTCCCCCAACTAACATTTTTGTTTTTCTTCCCCATCCTTTTTACTTGGCTTGCTAACCAAAAACTGCACTTTTTCCTGAAGCCCTGCAAACTGCATATAAACAACTTAAGCTTCCAAGAAGTGGCACCAGCTCATATGTACACGATCTCCATGCCTGCTGCTCTACGGATGACTCAGAAAGATCACAGAAACTCCAATTACAAACCACGAAAATACATCAGACTGCCACTGCCAGTCATCCAGAAATCCACTCGACTGCTCCCCTCAGAAACTGGTTTATAATTCGATCCAATCATTAACCATTGCTTTTGTTTCCATAGAAATGGCTTACTCATTCCTGATTCGAACCATTGGACTAACTCTGAGAACACATCACCACCTCCTGAAATGAGTTTAACTAAACTGACGTTATCATCAGAACCCAGACTGGTTCATTGAAATGGAACAATCTGGAACTTTTAATGTGTGAAACTTCCAGGGAAATTTTGGTGGAGGGAACTGCAGGGGCCAAGGGCAGGCCCCATAATGTACCACAATGGCATACTCATTATTTTGAATTGAAACTATGCGGGAAACAGCATGTACAAGGACACTCAGACCCTCCTCTATCCTCCTGAAAGTAGAAAATAAGCCTCCCATGTGAAAGGTACCCTCCCTGCACTAAGAAAACTAAAAAAAAAAAAAAAAATCTTTAAAGCCAAGAAAGCTGCAGAAACAAACCTGGTTATATTTTTACTAATCTACTACCACAGCCCCAATTCCTTACTAAAGCTCTCAAACATCCGTTTTCTTTATCCTGTCAACTCCTGACAGGTTTACTGTCTAAAACGTGTATTTTAAAAATGCCTGCTTTGGTCTTCTATTTAGATTTCAGTTTCCTTATTGGGACTCCAGGTGCACAAAATAAAACTGATTTTTTTTTTCCTCCTGTTAATCTGTATCATGTAAATTTAATTCCTAGTCCAGCAGGAAGAACCTTGGACAGGAAATTTTCTTCCTCCCCTTCACTCTGACATGCCAACTGATCCACCAGCCCACAGCTAATTCACTGGCTCTGAATAATTCCTGAGGTTTTCCACCTCCCCTCTCCCTGGCATTTGGCACTGGTGAGTAAAGTGAGCTCAACGTGGGGTGAAAAGAGCAAACAAGAACATTATTTTCCAAATATAGAAGAACATGGTGGTTAAGATTTTCAGCCCCCATTTCAGGTAACAAAACATATAAACATTTTTACATTTACCCTCATGTTCATACTTATCTATACATATATTCACATATGGGCCAGATCTTCTCACACTCCAAGTATCAATGCTTAAAACAATGTCTAACAAAATACGTGCTACACAGATATAAATACCTTGTAAAAATCCAGAAAAACATCTGAGAGGCCCCAGAGAACAGAGGCATAAACAGATACAAGATTACAGGCATGGAAAACTATACAAATTTTCAGTGGAAAAGTACACAAGTGAACAGGGACTGCAGTGAGGACACTGGAGGTGGGGCTTAGGAGGGAAAAAAATAGGGCAGAAGGGAGGAAAGGTGCTCAAGAAATGACCTCAAGTTATTAGAATGCTTTAAAAATGTCAGGTAATCTTCCCACAAGAGTAAGGTACTGGAGCATTTCATAATTGGATAACTGGGCAGGAAGAAGGAGGAAAAACCAGATTGTGACTAAATACTTTAAAACTTGATAGACACTTACCAAGTACATTAATGACTGTTTTAGGAAAAAGGAAAATAAAAAGGATCAAGAAAAAAAAAATGAAAAAGAGCATTTATAATGTGACAACAGCATTGTGTAAAATGATGTAGGTATTACATTAATTCAAATATCCACCATTTTCTCCTGTTACTTTATCTATGACAGTGGTCAAGTTGTTAAGTGGGTACCCCAGTATGTATACACATGTACACACACACACACACACACACACTACTTTCTGGCTAGTACCATCTGCTATTTGATCTTTGCTCTAAGGGTAGAGTTTTGGCTGTCTTAAACACCAATCTCTCTTGTAAACAAACTCTAGCTCTAGGGTACACAGTTACATAGTCTTGACCCAGAGAAGAGGAGAAGCACTGTAATAGACATTTCTCCTTCAGTTGCATGGGTCTGGTCCTCTACAAAATGGTTTATTTGCCTCTTTAATAAAAGTTGAAATTAGTTTCAACCTGGATTGAAAAATCAGTTATCCTACGGAAATAAATGGTCCAAAAAAAGTTGTTAACGGAAGTATTAGTGTCCATTAGACATATTTTCTTACATCCGGCCACTAGAGAGAAAATCAACTCAGAGGGCACTTCAGACATTCTGTTCTTACATATGTTCGTTTTTTTGTTTAAGTGCCATAATCTATCCATATATAACCTCTTGTTAATAAAACCAGCAGAGGTGTTCAGACTAAGAGGGACATGTACTTTCTAAAACCAGAATCTAAAACCTAACAGACCCAGTTAAATGCTGTCTATGTACACCAACACATTTCAATAACTAAAAATTTTCATCAACATAAAAAGGATAACACTAAGTTATGAAAGCCTGTTAAGACTCCAGATACATAGCAACCCAATAGCCCCTAGGGACAGGTTCTTCTATTAAGTGATTTTTTAAAAAGTAGCTTTTATTAATTGTTTTTAAGAGGATATTTAACACATGCTATTTATAGCATCATCAGCCTGAGGAACTCTACATATTTCAAAGAAAATGCCTTTTGATTCCATGAACGGGTTCACACCAAATTTGGCATCTTTTAGGGTAGACCAATTATTAGCTCTGGAAAGTTGTCCTTCAGAACAACAAATTAGTCTGAAAACCCGGTGACTAACATGGAGAAACAATGAGGCAGCTTAAGTTACTTCCCCAGAGCGACCCAATGACCCAACACTTATCTCAGACCCCATCAGAGAACAGCTGCAGATAAGGAAATATCCACACTACAGAATGAGACAAGGAGATCTGGAGAACCACATCACAATGTAAGAACACAGTCTGTGCCCAAAGGAAGGGCTTTGTGTGCAAAAGACGGAAGTGTATGTACTTCTGTGAGGTTAATGAAGGTCCGAGGCTGAGTGAAGAATGAGGAAATAGAAGAAAAGACTTTCATGCTCTTTTCTCCTCCAGTATTATCACAGAACTACACAAATGCTTGTTCTCTCTTACACATGCTCTCCCTTACACATGCTATACTGACACTGTTCCTCTTTCTCAAAATTATCCCAGGAAGGAAAAACCACACCTCTGAAATGATTAGCCAGAAGGGGCATCATGTTTCTACACAACAGAACACATTACCTCCCAACCACCTGTAAATAACCACCAAGAACACTGAGATACCTCATAGGAAAGAAAAAAATCCACCTTCATTTTCATTGTGACTGGACCTGATTTACCCACCACGCCCATCATACACTAGTCTACTCCTTAGCCTGACTGCCCATGACTCTATCAGACTGACAGGCAGAGCGGCATCTCTGGTTAAGAAGCCTTTCAAAGAGCTAACGCACCCACTGGGAACCAGCCCTGCGTGTGCCTGGCTGGGCCCAGAGGGGAGTTGGGGCTCTCTGGGTGCCGCCGAGGGGCAGCTGCTCCTGGCCACCCTGGCAGCACCATCTCCATTCTGAGCTGAAGGGCTCCATGTACAAGACGGAGGAAAACATCTCTCCCTCCCGACTCACATAAACCTTTCTTATTAATTCTGTGCCATAGAGATGCGCCGCAGGTCTGTTCTAAGCACAGAAAGGAAAAGACTTGCATAAGAGAAAAAAAAAAAAAAAAAAGCAAGACGGAGGAAAGAATTCCCACCGGCCCTGCTCGAGGGTGACAAGGCTCTGCTCACAGGGACAACCGCTTCTTTTCCGGGCCCAATGTCACTGGGGTCTCAATTCACAGGGCCACCCAGCTGTTTCCCAAGGATGAGGCCTGGAGCATCTGACTGGCTGACAGTGCTGCGGGGGTGGCGGGGGGAGGGGAAAGGTGACAGAAAGAAGGGACGAGGCCACAGGAGGATAATGACTGTGTGGCAGAGAATCATCAGAATGGCAACAAGAGATCAACTCGTCTGAGACCACGCATACAAAACTAGTAGCTGTGGGGACTCAGGATTCAATAAACAAGTAACAGTACTAAATATTTTGGTAAACAAAACAAGTAACAAACCGGCTGTTCAATAGCAGAGAACTGTTCTTGTTTCTACTTCATGGTTGAGGGGTGTCCATTTAGAGTCCGCAAACATTGGTCTGTACAGCCTTAAGAAATCTGAGAAGTCCCTCCTTCTGAGGATTCTCTGGTACAAGGCTGGTTCAATACTTCAGCATTAGCGAACGTGAAATGGTGGCCAGACTTTCACCAGACCCTGGCACATTAGGACACTGGTCTCTGCTCCACGCAGACCTCAGTTTTTCTTGTCCTTCTGAGGCTGGCTTTTTGTGGTCCCTAGGTTGTTCCACACTTCTGTGTACATTAGGGTCCCAATAAAGACAAACAAGGTACCCAGCCAGTGCCACAGAGTGAAAGGGTTCTGGAAGTACAAGATGGAAAAGATGAGGCTAACGAACTTGCGTAGAGTCACAACAAGGGTGACGGTAAGGGAGGCGCATTCTGTGGTGAGAATGAAGACGCCCCGGATGCACACGTACCTGGAGTGGTGGGGTTAAGGTGGTTTTCGGTAGACTACAGAGAGAACACCAGGGAGAACATTCTGGCATCGCTCTTGGTTTAAATGTTCATATTCTAAGAACCAGAAAACACGGGGGTGGGTATGGCTGCTCTGAGGCTCTTCCTTAGTAGAACATCCTGCAGAATGAATGTCCTACCATTCATCTGTGGATCCTAACTTGAAACTGCCTGCAGAACTCCCATTATTCTTGTTCCGAATTCTTCACACGGTTTACGGTGAGGGTCCCCCTCCCAAGTAGTGACAGAAGGTAGGTAACACTTTCAATAAAGGGCAGCAAACTTACTTTATAGGACCCGGGCTCCACCTACTCGTCCAAAAAGGAACTCTGCCAGCAAATCTATTAGGTGACATCAGAGGAATGAAACCAATCTCGACCTGTTTCACGGTTTCAAAGCCTTCATGACTTTTATAACATACTTAAAGTTGTTCAAAAGAACCATTGAAAAAATTAGGTTTTAGTTAGTTTGAAATTTGTTGCAGAATTTTGTGGCAGCTTGTGACATATCCTAGGTTACTGAAAAACTCCAGCAGAAATCACAGAGCATTCATGTCATATACTAATACTTAGTTATCCACTGATTTCTACACGTCCACCCAGAGCAATTCCTTTATGGCGCCCAGTGACTTACTGACCTCCTGCAGCACTAACCTCTCTCTGGCCCCCCACGAAGCCACCTCTGTCTCCGGTAGTACAGAACAGATCAAGGCAGAAACTAAACTCATGTCACCACACCGTTAGAAGAATAAACATTCCTCTGTCAAAAGACCATGGAGCAGACCATGTGGCAGAGGAGTGCAAAGGATACTGAGTGATGACATTCATGAGGAGGTAAAACCACATGATGGGCACTGTCACACCAATGACTGGAACTTGATATAATTCTGCAAAGATAAAGAGGAGAGACAGTCATATTTTTGACAGCTTAATGGAGACTGAACATAACAGAGACAGCAACAGTACTTCCCCTGCAAGTAGATTTAGACGGTAGACCACTTTACTTGCCTTGATTCCAGACTACATCGGTCTTAAGAGTCATTACACTGGTTGTTTTTTTTTTTTAAGTATAAATTTTTTTTTTTAATTCTTATGTTAATCCCCATACATTACATCATTAGTTTTAGATGTACACTGGTTTCTTAAATTATTTATTTTACCTGTAAAATAAACTCTTCACCATCCACCTGACTACGACCCCACTTTACAAAGAAACACTGTGAGGCACAGAGAAGTTAAAAATGACATGGTCTTAACTGACAATCGACGCACGAGTAAAGACAACCCATAACTAAATGCCATTTGGAAATACTCAATCCTACTAGTAATTGAAGAATTCAAAACTGAACAAGGCTCTACCATTTTATACTCTATTAAAACAGCAATTAAAAACTTACAAAACCCTAATCTGGAAAGGTGGTAGTGGAATTGGCAGCCACTCAGTTGGCAGTAGTATCAACTGGGGTGTGTTCTTTAAAAATCAATTTCATAATGCTTATATTAAGGACAATACAAGTTATTTATACTCATTCTTAGGAATTAGTCCTCATGAATTCAAAAGAAGAAGAGAATTCTCCATTGATGGGAGTACTATTTACAATGAGGAGACACTGAATCAATCTCAATGGCTAATCTTAGAGCAATGGCTGTGTAAGCAAAGAACTTCCACTAAATGAGGCAGGACACATCTGATTAAAAAAAGAATCATGAAGATTATATACACTCACATAAAAAAGAAGGCAAGTGAAAAAGCAAGTATAAAATTTATCTACACAGGATGACAACTATGTAAGAATATATGTAAACAGTATCTGGAAAGAAACTGCTAAAATGAAATTAGCTGACATCTAAGGCAATGGAACTGTAACTTTTCTTCCTTTAAATACATTCTTATGTTATGAGGCTTGCATAGTAAATATTTGGGAGGAAATAAAATATGCAAGATCAAAGAGTAAGGACATAGTAATCCTCAAAAGATCCGTTTTTAAAAATTCCTCAGTTGTTTGGGGAGTTGAATTATACAGTATAACCTAGGAAATTCTAATAGTGACAGTGAGGTCTGGTTAGTAAATGAATGTTACTTCTCTTGTGCAAAACATAAAAAGACGTATATATAAAGAAAGGTAATATAACTGTCTAGACTAATCCCCATAGTCTGGTATTCCATTGTCTTTGAAACACTTAGCATGTACTGAAATGAAAATTAACAAGCATTATTACTATTTAATAGCTTCAGAGATCCACTGTATCAATTTGCTGGGTAAGAGGCCATCAGTAGGACTCAAAATATTTAGGTGGATATTCAATTCTCTGAACAAATTCAAGGATAACAGGTTCATCTGAGATAACCTCAAGGCAAGCCAGAGAAAGAAAAAAGCATATACTTAACTCAGGGATGATTTTGAAGATGTTGAAGGCAGACTCTAAAAAAGATTTTACTTTTATACCCATCCCTGTGACTTTTAGAAGCAGCATTCTAGTAACTAAATCAAAATCAATCCCAAGGAATCTGGTAATATGTTTATGTCAGTAGCCCTTCGTTATGTGGGAATTCTCAAGAGACCTTAAAAATCATTGTGTCAAAAATGGCCATGTGTTGATTATATCTTCAGGAAAAAAAAAAGAAAAGAAAAGCCAGAAATGACTGAGTAATTTGGAGCCTTAAAAACTTCCTGACACACTACCTTCATTACACACTTTCGGTGGGTAAATGGGACAGGCAACATTGCAAACTCCAACACGAAGCATTCACAACTTCCCAACGCAGGTTCTGAGGGCAAACAAGTTAACAGGGCACATACTGCCCCTACCACAAAACACACCTGCCATTTTAGATACGAGCAACATAAAGCCTTAATTTTACACGTTTATTTGTTCCTGTGTGTTCATGTGTCTGTGTACACACTATGTCTTTTAGTCGATAGTCACATAAGTAATTCCTTTCAAGTTATAGCTAGTTGATTAAACAGCCCCTTTAACAATAGCTAACTTACCCTGTAGACATGTGAACTAATTTTGCTTATTCCTGCTGCCTACCTACCCTGTATCTTGGAAAAGAGCCCCCTTGTGGTTCTTGTTTCCCCTCGCTCCACAGGAGGTAGGACGGGGTGTGGGAGCGGGTCCGCCTTCACCAGCAGCAAAGGAAGAGGAGGAACACACAGAGCTGGACGGCTGCCCAGTTTCTCACGGGCCCACCTCTGCAGGGGGGTATCGCTATTTTTTTACATTCTCAAAGCATCAAATGTTCCACACATGCAAATGCAAGCACACAAATTCCAAAGCAAAACAGAAAATTTGAAGATACTCTCTTCCATCGTTTGCAAATGACTGAGAAGCACCTGTAAAAGCTTTTGCCGCTGTAGCTGCTGCTGAACAGCACTGTATCCCCAAGAGGTGGAGGGGGGATGGCTCCCAATAGGGCAGTGATTTGGATAAGATCGTGAAAAAAAGCAGTGGTCAAGTCAATAGCAAAACTGAGAGGTGGCCACAGAACCTGTCAGGTAATTCTACCTGATAACATCCCACTCACCAGACTTATTGAACAGAACTGCATGGTCATAAATATCGGAAGCCAGGAAGATGAAGCCAGGAAGTGGAAGGGCATGCTATGGGAAGAAAGATTTCATGTAAATTTAAATACAGACACATGATACAATGTGTAAAGCAGCTTTACAATGACTTACTACTGCTTGTCAAACAACTCGTGAAACTGCATCAAGAAAAGCAATTCAGACTCGTTAGGTTAAATGTATCCAGGGCTTCGGACCAGGTGACACTGTCCAGCGCGCTACTGACCCCAAACTGCAGTTCTTGCCCTTACGGAATGGAGTCAGATGATCACCACATACTAAACAAAAAAACGGAGCCAGCATCCTTCCTCCAACAAAAGGGAAGTTTGAACTCACAGCCATTCGGCCCATAGGATTTGCTACATTTTGCTACTTTTGAAAACGGCTTAGCCAACAGAAGGACTTAAAAATTATAAAGAAGGCAAAGGTCGATTTCAGGGAGTTTAGGTAACTTGTGGGAAAAAGAGGTTTGAGGACAATACGAGATCAGGGAAAATGAAATGAAGACAAGGATAAAAAGGACGAAGAGGAGCGGAAATGACAGGTAAGCAGAGGTGAACGTGCCTGACAAGAGCCCACCAGCACCACAGTATGGGATCATAGCTAATGTTACGGGCCAGCTGCTCTGTGCCAGGTACTGTTCACAAAGAAAGCTGTGAACCAGATAGACCGTTCCTTATTTTTTAAACTCCCAGCCACATACTCCAGCTCCAGTTAAGTATCTCAACCGGACTGTCTGCAACTTCAGTACAAAAAGCTGGCGGTGAAGGAACATCTGACTCATCTGACTCCACCTGAACACTGAAGCCGAAGGCATCTCTACCACCCGGAACCTTGAGGGGCTGTGTTGTGGATGTTCTCTCCATAGGAGAGAGGCTGGAGGAAGAGCACAGTTAGAGAGGGTAGCTCTGGCTCAGCAGTTTCCAAAAAAGCAGCAGAAGCACACAGAAGTAGGTAATGAACGCTCCCATCGAGTAGAGAGAGCTCCCTGGAGGGACTGCGCTCACCCCTCTTCCCCCCTCTCTCAAATGCCTGCCCACCTGCCTGGCAACGTCCCCTTCGACATGTTGTTTTTGGAACTTATTTTCCTGTTCCAAATTTCCATAGTGGTTTTAACTTGATTTCATCTCCGGAACATGGGGGTGGTGGTGAAGGTTCTCATCCCCAGACTTGTTCCTGGTTAGCAGACACGCTAGGTTCACACTGATCATGATCATCTCATGTAGAGAACTGTGGCTCAGAATACACATTAGTAGCCTATTAAAAATACTTGGTCCTTCAACTACATCAGAAAAATGCATATTTCATTTGAAATAACAGATTACAACTCAGTACTTTTTATCTTCCTCAGGTTCAAGAAATTGCTTACATTATAAAACAAAGCCTCCTTGGAGTGTTTCCCAAATTGTTTGTATAGGGTCTCTTGGAAAATACCCATCCTTGCTGACATCAGAAGTGCAAAAGTCAGTGCCCCAATTCCTAAAAAAAAAAACAAAAATCAGGTTACAAGATACTAGATTTGCTCATTTCCAGATGTTTTCCTCAAGAATACCGACTGTTCTACACTAATTACAAGCCAGTTGTAGAACATGTACAAAATTTTTAAAAGAAATAAAAATCAACCACAGGATCACTACCTACTCCTTGATAGGTTGCGCTCTCTCTCTCTCTCTCTCTATATATTTATGTATATATTTTATGCTAAAACAGGATAATGAACATACAATTGTACATCTTGCTTTCTTCATGATCTTTTTCTTGGATTTTCCTTCAAGTGATTAAAATTTTTTCAACGGTATGAATTCATGGCTCCATGACTCTATCACGTGGAGGGACCATATTAACTGTCTTACAACATGAGAATGATTAGATTACTTCCAATTATTTCACCATTCAAATCAATGTACATCCTTGTACATAAATCTTTAAACAAAATGTTGATGATTTCCCTTAGGATAAACTTTCCTAAATGAAATTACAGAATCAAAAGTTGTAGACATTTTTAAAACTCACTACATAAATTTTTCCAGAAAGGCTGTATCAGTTTCTACCAAAAACAGTTTATACAAAAATGCATCCTCAGCAGCAATGAGAATAATCGTTTATTTTCTTGCCATTTTAACAGGCCAAAAATAAAAAGGTACTACATTTTGGTTTCAATTCGCATCTCTCTGATTCCAAAACTATTGAGGCTGAACCTAATAATCAGATATTAATTTTTCCCTGTGAACTGTATGTTCATATCCTCTGCAAATTTTTCTTATTGGATGAAGTGTTTTCTAACAGCTCTTAAAGATTTTTCTATGTGAAGAGCGACCTGAAGGGATAAAGTTTCGAAGCCAAGCAGCAGGGAGAATCGAGTTCTTTCATTGCTATTTCTCTGCAGCTTAGTCTCGATCTGTTCCTGCTGCTACTGGCTGCACTTGGAAAGAGTTTCCCCTCCTATCCGACAACACGAGGCCAAAGCTCTACAGCTAATTCCACAAAGAGATACTCATTTTTAAAAATTCCCTAGGAGACTCTGATGATCAGTCAGATTTGGGAACACTCATTATGGAAGAGCTAACTTATGAAGAAAATGAATCTAAGATTTAGAAATGAGTCCCCTGGAAATTTACCGCTTCTACTCGGGAGATAGATCATGAAGAAAAGGAGGACACTCGAAGCACTCGCTCCCAGAAAGCGGGACAGGCAACTGACATGCACTTTTCTTTCTATACCAGTGGCAACCAAGGAAATCGTGGATCCACATTGTAGAACACACCACCCTGAACATGGGACATTTTCTTTTTTTCATGTTCTGAACACCAAAGTTCAGAGATAGGTGATCCCAGGTGCCTCTCTCTTCTGTGGCATAATCTGTTTAGCCAAAGCTTCTTACCAAGAAACCTGTTTCTCGGGAGAAAACTCAGCAAACAGAACTGCAGAGGCAATTAGCTTTATTGTAATTATTGTACTTGCCTAGTAGCCACCTTAAAAATGCCTGGAATCCGTCATTCTCACTCGAGCTGGCCTGGGAAGTCTAGGAAGGAAAGAAAAACACCAGGTAGAGAGACCAGAACTACATGCAAGGTGCCTGGGTAGAAAGGAACAATCTGCGTTACCCAGTCCCCTCCACTCTCTTGCAGAGACCCGGATCCTTCTATTGCATAAGCCTGTAAATGTACCGTATCAATAAAAGTACCGGGGCCCCCACGGCAAGCAGTGAATAGAAATGATTTGTGAAGCGATTCTTACCACCTGCTTTGCTGACATGAAAGTGCAAATAAATATCCCCACAGACACCAGGGCAATGGAGGTATATTTGAACATGCTGTATCTGCAAAAACAAGAACAAGGACACCTTAAGAAAAGAAAAGCACCGATACGAATTTCCACATGATGCTCACAGTCAAATGTTGCATAAGAGCACAAATCACCAAAATACAGCTGACAGTATCACACACATGAAGGAAGCAGGGTGCTAATGACTAAACACCCTTTTTTAGTGTTGCTTAAAATAGTTTCTGTTAGTTTGTGGACCGAGAGATGTTTCATCAGAAAACAAAAACAAAAAAAGACATAGACCAGATATGATATTCCATTCTGCTTGAGTCCCAATGAAAGCTGGGCAGATCTTAACTGCCTCCTGTGGCTTTTCTGGTCTTCAGGGGCCCAAACATGAGTGTCAGAGACACACCAGACAAGAGAAAGAACAGAGTATCAGAGACAAATAGCAGGACGCAAGGCTCAAAAAAAAAAAATCATTCAACTGTCCACTGTCGGGAGAGGATATTTTTAACACCTTTGAATGACTTAAATGTTTTTAAATGTCAGCACAGTTGGATAAAAGAAGAAATATTACACTAACAGGACTACTAGCAGTAAGAACAGTGGCATTTCATAATAACTAAAACAACATCATTAACATCCCTCTTGGGCTCTTACTGATAAAGCAGAAGGCCTCAGGCAAGAATGAAAAGGAATTAAATTTACAGGATGAACCATCCAAGGTTTTCTAGTCAAACACTTTGCACAGTTCTGATCACATCACCTCATAAAAGGCCAACAGGACTAGCTAAGCAGCAGATCAGGGGCCAAGAGCAACCTGCTAGTGGACAGAGGCAGGATGAGGTAATAGGCCCTGAGGAAGGAGACAGAAAAGTAAGGGAACTCTTCAGTCTGGAAAGATCCAGACAGAGAGAGGTTTGTAACTCAGGCCTAAAAATTAACAAGGGGCAGGTTCAGGTAAGTATAGACTTGGTCTTCAAATCCCAGAATGAGGAACACACTATGAACCTAAGGGGCTCTGCTCAAAATACACAAAAGAAGATAACAACTTACTAATTCCTGATATTAGACGGTCACCTTAGGGAAATTCCTGCTCTCTGGGTGATACACACCAAGGAGAGTCAAAAAGGCTTACTTGGATAGATTCAAGATGACAGACCCAAAACAACTTCTCCAGGGAAACAGAGATGTTTAAGAAAGGCCCCTGACATTTCAGAGCACTATCAGCAGAATACATTCCTTTTATAATATGTTCTTTTGTAGCCCTATTATGAGCAAAATCAAAGGTTGGAAGGCCCGCAGGTCTGTCCCAATGTCAAGTCTACACTACCAAGAAGCTTAGCAGTCACTTCAATGTAACAAACCCATTACATATGAACACTTAATGTGGAGACCTGGAAAAGAAGTCAACTGCAGTTGTACTCATCTGGGGAATACATAAGCCTCAGAAGATAAAGTGTTCACGATAAGGAGCCTAGCAGGACAGGACGACTGTCCTTCTTAGGACACTGCTCTTATTACTTAAATACTCGGGGTTCCCACACTCTTAATCGGCAGCACTTTCTAAGCTGGTCTAGAGTTCTAACACTCATTCAACCGTCTCTTCAGGGAGCACCCTGTTCTTATTTAGTTCTAACACTGGGGCTAGACACTGAATACAGAGAAAAGCTTGCATGAGCTTGTACCATCGTGATCTTAACAGTGAGGGTGAACTTCCCCTGAGGAATGTTCCAGACTGAATGTGCTGACGCTCCCCAACGTCCTTCCTCCTTGGGAGTAAGGGGTAAGGCTCAGAACGAAGGTGGCAGACAAATACTTTGAGAAAGTATCCCAGGCATTTCTGGTATTTCCCAACCATATGCCAGAGAGAGGCACTGGTGACAGCCACACAGAACAGTCCTGAAAGTTTTCACCCCATCTTCTTGGCCATTTGGGTCTTTGTTAGGAACTTTCTTTCTAACATGGGTATCGTCAGTTCATCACATTGTACTGATGAACACCTTCTACGACCGCGTCGTCCAAGAACTTCCGTGAAGTTGAAAATGTCCCATAGCTGGGTTCTCCAAATGGGTGCCACTAGCCACATGTGGCTACTAAGCACTTAAAATGTGAGAAACTAAATATTTATTTAATTTTAAATAACTTAAAGTTAAATGTAAATAGTCCCATGCAGCTACCGGAGGCCACATGGGACAGTGAAGTTCTAGATCAGCTGGCTTTGGAGGTTACTATGCTACTGAAGATTCCGTGGTGACAAGAGCTACTTCGTTCTACACAGAGGAAATGCCGCTCCATATATACAGGGGGGCCCCTTACCTGGTCCACTGCCTCAGGACGCACAGCACTGTCACGGAGAGAACAAAGACAAAAGCTGGATGATCAAGAGCAAACTTATCACCACTATGAGAGAAGGAATCCAGCTTATGGATGGGGCTCAGGATATCCTTCCTACACATAAAATATGAAAGTATATTGTTTACCTTTTCTTCAAAATGATAATTCCTAGGATCATGTTGGCAATTAGAGAACCCTGTAAAAGGACAATAGTAACAGTTTTAGTGCACCAGGGAAAGAAAATAATTCAAGATAAATAAGAACACCGACAAGCAGGAAAAAGAGCCAGAAAGGAGGGTTAGAATGAATAATTACTAAGGTTCACTTGTTCTTATAATGGCAAAAAGTATAAACCATACAAATCTATTATGTAAATTAATAAAACCTTCTGAAGATAACAATGAGAATAAAAATGATCAATTCTCTAAATACTGGTCAGAGTTCTGAAACTAAGGCTAGCAGAAATTATACTGTAGACTTAATTTTGTTAAATTTTCCATCTGATATATGAGAGCTTTTGCTAGGCTTCTCCTCACCCCCGGTTTTAATTAATGAAAGTAGGCGTGCAGGGATCTTTCTCTTCTCTAGAAAGCTGTCGCTCAATCAGCAAAGGTTTATTGAAAGTCTATGATGTGCTCCGTACTTTGAAAGTCATCTCTGTAAGTATAATTAGCTCTGAGAAGTCCCTTTGAAGATAGCACCTTTAATCTCCCAGAAATCTCAGACTACACAGAAATGTTATAATTCCAATGGTCACCAATTTTGCATTCTTCTGCAATCCTAACTACATTCCCCTTGAAGTTTTCTTGCTCTTCAGGGAGCACCCTGTTCTTATTTATATACAGATCTCCCACCAAACGTGAGAGGAAGGAAAAAGTCACTGCTGCTCTGGGAGAAACCCCACCTTCATCAAGAATTTCCCTTTATTGGGGCGCCTGGGTGGCTCAGTCAGTTAAGCATCTGGTGGCTCAGGTCATGATCTCAGGGTCCTGGGATTGAGTCCTGCATCGGGTTCCCTTGGTCAGCAGGAAGCCTGCTTCTCCCTCTCCCTTTACTACTCCCCCTCATCCTCTGTCTCTCTCTCAAATAAAAATCTTTAAGAATTTCCCTTTATTTAGAGCACCTGGGTGGCTCAGTCAGTTAAGCCTCCCACTCTTGGTTTTCGACCCAGGTCATGATCTCAGGGTCATGAGATTGAGCCCTGCATCAGGCTGCACACCAGCGGGAAGTCTCCTTGAGATTTTCTCCCTCTGCTCCTCACTGCACCTGTGTGTGGGCACGCTTTCTCTAAAATAAATAGTTTTTAAAAATAAGAATTTCCCTTTACTTAATGGTCTCAAAAGTCTCTTGCTTTAAAAAAAAAAAAATCAAAAAGGGAAGTATCAATTTTATGTACTAGAAGTAAATGTAATTTTATGAAAGAAATCAAAAGTGATGAGAAATAAGTAACATTCATAGCAAGTCTGAATATAAAATCAACCAGATGAGGGAAATGAAACATAAAATCTGCCTCCCAGGGAAATTTTAGCTCCTTTTATTGATCACCTGTTAGACCTCAGAGGGATGACAGTCAACTGTCCACTCTCTGCCTTACTGCACAGATGAAAGCCAGTCTTTGCTCATGCATCTGGGAGACCTATGCTTAGACGCTAGACTCTACTAGTTATAAGACCTTTCTACTTTCGTCAAGTGTTCAATCGACCCACTTAGATTTCCCAGAGCAACATACATAAGTAAGCCGGCAGCACTCACAGATCTAAATATCATATGCAGGGGCATGGCGATGTTGAGATTCAGGGCATAGTTGTTCACCACACTGACAGTGAAGAACATGGCTACCATCACAGCATAGTACCTGAAACGCAGAGATCACAGCACATCACACAAAATCTACTATTTCAAGAAAATCAAGTATAGAAGGAATTAGTTATTTTTGGTTAGAAAAATATCTCGGGGCGCCTGGGTGGCTCAGTTGGTTAAGCGACTGCCTTCGGCTCAGGTCATGATCCCGGAGTCCCGGGATGGAGTCCCGCATCGGGCTCCCTGCTCGGCAGGGAGTCTGCTTCTCCCTCAGACCCTCCCCCCTCTCATGTGCTCTCTCTCTCTCATTCTCTCTCTCAAATAAATAAATAAAATCTTTAAAAAAAAAAAAAAGAAAGAAAAATATCTCGTTTTAGTCCCTCTAGATTAAAAGATTGTATCACTACTATAATGTGAAGTCAATACTAAGCACATACAAAAATACAACCAAAGCCAAACTAACATGGAAAAAGTCTGAACTGTAGATATGTTTTGGCTCAGGTCATGATATCAAGGTCCTGGGATCGAGTCCCGCATTGGGTTCCCTGCTCAGCGGGGAGCCTGCTTCTCCCTCTCCCTCTGTTCTTCCCCCACATGCTCTGTCTCTCAAATAAATGAATAAAAGAAACACTATTTTAATCTTTCTCGAGTGTATTCTTAGTATTTTTCAAGCAATTTAAAACTAGCCTTCAAAAAACATTATCTGAGGGGTGCCTGGGTGGCTCAGTTGGTTAAGTGGCTGCCTTCGGCTCAGGTCATGATCCTGGGGTCCTGGGATCGAGCCCCAGGTCGGGCTCCCTGCTCAGTGGGAAGTCTGCTTCTCCCTCTACCCCCCCCCACCCTGCTCATAATCTCTCTTTCTCTCTCACTCATTCTCTCTCTCTCTCTCTCGGATAAATAAAATCTTTTAAAAAAAAAGATCAAAAAAATAAATTTAAAAAAAATTTGAAATAATGGCTAAATAAATAAAATCTTAAAAAAAAAGATTAAAAGAAATTATTTTTTTTAAAAAAGTCTTTGAGCATAGATTCCCACCTTTTTCATCTTGGCACATCTGAAGAACGATAGCACTGAGATTCCAGTTATCTTCCTTCACAGGAACCTACCTGATGTTGCTGGTTGGATATGGACCTACATGCCCTAACCATCAGCCAGGCTGGGGCTAAATTAACGGAGTCTGTAAAGTTTGAGGAGCTTCATGATGAATGCAGGACACAGTATTACACACATGCAAAACTACTCCTGTTCAAAAGAAAACCACAGGCCCAAAATGCAAAATGGTGCCTTAACTTAAGGACCCAAGTGAGCAAACCAAGACTTAATTCCTAACCCAACTGCAGTTTCAACCAACCCTCCCCCGCCCCCCAGGAATGTCACCTTTAACCAGTCAACATTGAATTTCCTGGTCAATACTAGGGAATTTACTGATAGACCCCCCTTCTGCTCTCTTTACCAGGCAACCTTACCTAAACAACACATATCTTGCTAATAAATTCCTTTCTTTTTTAAAAATGCCCTCTCTCTGCCTTTAAAAGTCTTTCTCTTATTTACTCAGTGGAGCTCCCCTCTACTTGCTAGATGGAATGCTGCCCATTCATGAACAGTTTAAGAAATCCAATTAAATCTTCAAATTTACTTGGCTGAATTTTTTTTCTAAACACATTTGGTGGCAGCATCAGGATCCAAAGCAAACTTCTGACAGCATTCAGGGACAGGAGAAACATAGGCGTGGTGCCCCAAGAACTCATTTGAGTTCTCGGTCTTTCTCACTGTTTCCAAGGGCCATTGGTAAGTCCCTCTTGGTTTCAGCTCCACTCTTTTTGCATTTAAGCTACCCATCTAATTAGCTTCCTAATCCAGGGTTAACAGGTCTAGACAAACAGGACCCTCTAACAGAGCACCAGTCCTTGGCCCTTGGTTCATTCTGCAATTCCATATTGGCATTCCTTCCCCAGTTCCAGTCCGAACTCCCCATTTACCAGGGTTTGGTGGTTTAATCCTTTACCCATTTCCAGTCCATAGTCTCCCTGAATGGAGTCTGCTGGTTTAGTCCACCCAGTAAATTGCTGGTTTTGCCCATGGTCTTCTCTTGGCTAGTCCACAGGAACAACTCTTACTTACTACTGGTGTGTTAAGGTACACATATTTGTTTTTTTGTGTAAACGAAGGCTTAGTTTGGGGGTCCTTAAATTCTACAGAATCAAGCGTGCCACCTTCTGGCATACCTGCTTATTTTAAGTCTAAAAACTATGGTGCTGGAAGCTGTGAACAGCTACAGAAATAAAGGACTAAAAAGAACCTAGAATTACAATGGTCGTGATGGAGAATGTTCCAATTAGATAAGGTCATTTAAGAAGTGCCCTTGAATGCAAGGGTTCCCAAATTAAACAGAACGGGATATCTGTTTTAAATGGCAAGCAGAAGCCTCCAAAAGGTTCAAAATTCCAAAATAGTCTCACTAAAAGACTCACGTAAACAGCTAATGAAAATGAGAAAAAGTACCTAAAACAAGACTGTTAAAACTGATGTAACTGCTACTGTTCCCCTCCGTCTTTTGAGTACTGATCCTAATCAGCCTCTTATGAACTGCCTTTCACTCTAAAGAGACTATTAAACAGTTACTTTTAGAAGAAAACCAGTTGAGGCTATAGGCACTTCACTCCTTGGTCAAAGGCCAAACTAAAGTCCATAGCTGAATAATTTCTCAAACCTGGGGAGAATCCTCAAGAGTTTTTGTAAATATATCACTTCCTGAGCCCAGCTGAGAGAGGAATAAAAATTCACATTGTCCCTTCCTTTACAAATAATGGATAGCTGGAAGAAAGGCAGGCAGCAACAAGGCCCACCCCTCACCCCCACCCCAGCCGTAAGAGGAAACTACCTTTAAAAGGATTTTACACCACCCTGGGAGGAGCCCTCCATCCTTTTCCCCTGTGAACAACTACCTGATAGATAGATGAGCGTGTGGACAAAAACCTGACTGGGTGACAGGTGCATGGAGGATTGATTAATCAGATTTAAACAACCCACCAACATTTTCATAAAAACCCCTAGACTTAGAAACTCTGGCAGCAACCTTCTCAGGCCCACCTCCCTCTTCGGGAGCTTTGTACTATCACTCAATAAACTTTGCTTTGCTGCCCCCCAGTCTTCAGCTGGTCTACCTCTTCATTCTTTGAAGCAGCATGACCAAGAGCCGCGCGCACTGAAGGAAAAGAAATCCTGCATCACAAATCCAGTCCATATATCCTGAGAACTTGGCTTGGCTTTCTGCCTGTCTGGAGTATGCAGGTTGCTGGTTCTTTCTCTGGCTGTCATGGGGAGTGACTCTAAATATTCTGAAGAGGGTATCTTTTATACCCTCTTTGAGGGCACGTCCTGGATCCATGAAGTTATTTAATACTGCCAGAATTATTTACCGTTTGCCCTGACAAAATATTTGAAAGGATTTAATACCTTTATAATCAGGAATTTGGTCAAATTGGAAACTGATATTCAGAGCCTGAGAGGAATTTTTTAAGGACTTTTCTCCTAAGCTATATGAACCCAGAGAGAAAGAAGACTTTTTTTTTTTTTTAAGTAATCTCTACACCCCACATGGGATTCAAACTCACAATCCCGAGATCAAGAGCTGCACAATCTACCTCCCGACTGAGCCAGCCAGGCACCCAGAAGGAAGACATTTTTATAGGAATTAAAAATAGCTGTCCCTATCTCACAAATCTAGTCTCTACAGGATCAGAGGTGTAGTTCCAAAACAATTCAAAGACTACCAAACCTTTTTGCCAATCCCCTATCTATCTCAAAAGACTTCTAAGTGTAAAAATTCTGACTTTAAGGGAACAAGAGTCCTTCTAGGAGAAGCTTGCATTCTTTCCCTGTGTCTTTAAGATGTAAATGTTCAACACTCTACTGATCTTTTCTAGGAAATCCTTTCTAGTCCATCTCTTTAAAATACAAATTTCAGAGTGGTAATTCTTGTCAAGAAAAAACATAAGGGGCAGAGAGAGGTCATTTGGAACTTGACTTGCCGAGGAGAAATTCAAATCTTAAGTGTCTTCACAAATACTAAAAAAGCTTTGGCCATCTAGACTGATAACCTTATTCCATCTACCAGAAAAACTGAGATCTAACTTTTATAACTATAACTAGTAAATTCTGTACCTACTTCATGGCAGTAATTTAAAACTATAAGGGCTATCTGTCCTATATTCATGTGTGTCTATATTTATGTGTTGTAGCTCTGTGGTATTTTCTACTTCTGGGTGGTATTGCTACAATTAATTTGTAAAAGAGTTCTATTTAGTTGGTTTGAAGGCAAACACTTGTAAGGATTGTGTATTCTAAAACTCTCAAAAAGAAAGAAACTAACTCAAGTATTTTTCAAGGTCACATGGTTTGAAAAAATATTTGATATAAAAGCTAGTTTAAGGTGGATGGCTTAATTAAAAAGACATGTCTTTAAAGTTACCAACACTAAATATAAAACTTCTATTCTACTTCAGTTTAGTAGCCTCCAAATAAGTTCATGTTGTCCTTTCCAAGATCTGTCAACAAAAATTAATAGCTTAGGATAATGGCTGACTTTGTCTAATGTTTAATACCATTTTTATAGGTCATCTAAACATAGTTATCAAGAACAAGTAAATTAGATATAAACAAGATAAAAGTTTATAAATGAACTTTTCAAGAATATTTATGTCTATGTAATTTTCCCAATTTTTTTTTTTTTGGTAACCTAAAACCTTAAAGTTTTGCTGAATTAGGTTAAATGATAAGTTAAATTCATTAAATATCTAGATCATTTCTAGAAGTAGGAGGACCCTAAGCTCACCTCATACTAGATAACTGTCAAATTATCCTAAATATCCCAGAAATTGACCTGAAGACCAGCAGAACAGACTCCACAACTAAAGGCAGAGAAGGGCCACATGGAAGAAGGTAGGAAGTGTGGATGTGTGGTTTGGGAGAGAAACGACTCCAGGAGCTGCTGTTGCAGAGAAGGGCAAGAGACAGACTAACACACGTGGGAGCCATGAAGAAAATAAATCCCCA